AACTGCATCCGGCAGGCGGCAGGCGCACAGCAGCACCGTCCACAGCCCACGGTCGGCTGCAAGTGCCCGTCAGCTCTTTGTCCAGGTAAGAAACAGCCCAGAGAGGTAGTGCACACATCCTGTGGAAGTCCTGCAGGAGTCCAAGGTGTCCTGGGGCTCAGGTTTTCTGGAGTGTCAGAGAAGCCTTTTGGGTAGAATATGCTAGAAGTGACCCCCCTCCAAGATATATACACATCTACATCACAAATTGTAAGCAGGCCCAGGGAGTCTTGAGACATCCCCTGCTCCTGGTTATGAGCCCCAGAGTTAAATAACCACAAGAGTCGCAGTTTATTGAGCATGTACTGTATGCCAGACACTGCTCAGGGTACCCAGCAGGTGTCTCCTAAGGTCCGGAACACCAGCTCTCAGGCCAGGCCACCAAGGCCCCTGAACCGCCGCTGCCCCAGGCTCTGGCTACACCTTCCCCAGCAAGGCGCTGCCAGCAGCATTATGTAACTGTGCAAGAGCTGCCTCGCCCACTGCTCCCAGCACTGCACTCCCCAGAGGCACTGCCTGTACCCCCTGCACCTGGCCCGGCCTGCACCTGGGGGCGCCTCACTGCTCCCGAGCTGCTGAGAGATGCTCCTCCACCTCCCTTTCAAAATCATCAGAACCTGACAACCTGCTTTCCACTCTCTACCTCCCCCCAACTTACCACTTGCTGATTCATGCCCGCCTTCCCTTTCCGGAACCACAATTGTTATTCTCAACCCCCACCCCCACCTCTTCCCCTCCTTGCTCCATTCTCATTCCTGCATCCTCCCTCCAGCATGGAGAGCTGCACGCGTGGCCTGTGTGTGTTCAAGTGGCTGCCCAGCATCTAGCTGGGACCATCTAGCTGGGGACACCTGTCCGACCTGCCCTGCAGAGGCCAGCCAGGAGCCAGTGGGGACCCAGCAAATGACAGCGTTACAGTCACGTGGCTTCCTCCCAACACCCATACTTTTAAAATTCTATATTGGCCCAAATGGACACAGAGCTCCTCCTTTTCTTCCTGGCTCTCTAAACTGGATACTCTGAATGGATCGCTGCTGTCTGCGCGCTCCAGCTCACGCTGTGCAACACGGGTCTGCACACAAATCATCTTGTCTCAGGCTTTCTCTTAAAGGAGGCGCTCCCAGGGAGGACATCAGGCCCGATCACCTGAGAACAAGGAAGAACTACAATCGTGCGAACCCAAACGCCCCCTCCCAGCCGGCTAAGCACACACCATCTCTCCATTCACAGCGCCCCACCCAAGTCGGTCAAAATCATGCTGAGGTCCGACCCCGCAGACGGGTCAGGCAGGGCCTGGGCCGCCTTGTAAATCACAAGCGCTAGAGGCGTCCCCTGCATGACGGCTCAGAGGCACCATGCTCCTGCGCCAACCGGGTCTGTCTTTTCTGACTTTCAATTTAAGGAACCCGTCTTCCCTATAAAGAGGTTCCAAATGACACTGCTATGAGGGCCTGCGGAGGCCGGGGTCTGAGAGCTGCTGCTGCAGCGCGTGTCCGTTCACCTGGGTGCTTCCCTGCAGCCCCAGCCCAGCCGGGGGTGAAAGACCCGGCCCAGGAACTGCACATCAGAGGCCTGGGCTAAATTTCCATTGACCGGCCACATGACCTTGGGCCTGTCACCTGGCTGCTCTGAGCCACAACTTCCACATTTGTAAAAGGAGGCTCCTGGCCATCCCTTAGCCCTCTGGTGTCCTTCCCAGCCCTTAACAGGGCCGCCTTCCTCTGCCCCTGGGGACGGCCTTTCTGCTCCCCTCCAATGAGGCCAGGACCCATCTGTCCTCTGATTGCGTAGCCCCAGAGGCTCCACTGTAGCATCTATTTGGTAATGAAATGACACAAAGTTTCACGCAGAGTCTCAATTTTCACATGATGGGGATTCATCAAACAGCCACCTATGAAAGCACAACACAGAAGCAAGTGGGGGAGCCCCACACATGGTGCCCATGGCGGGGTATGAGCCCCCAATGCTTATCATGGGTCACTGCATCTGACAGTGAGACCCCTTTCCTGACACGTAAGCGGAGAACCAGATTTCAAGCTGCAGCCTCCCAGCAGGGCACTAACCCTCTACTAGACTTCTAGAATTTGAGCCCCTGTTTAACCATCAAGCTTGAGAATTCCCCTAACTCCCCTGAAAAGTAAGGAGACCAGTCAGTCAAGCCTGTCTCTGGCTGCAGCTGACTTGAAGCTGCCCCCTCTAGTTGGGGCACGCACGCTCACCTTCCTCTCCCCAGACCCCTCCCTAGCAAGGCAACTTTCAGCCCTGCTGAGCCCTCAAAGGCCTAAGGACAGCTACAATCCAACCACAACCCAGCACTCCCCTGAAGCTTCCGCTAGAGCAGGTTCAAATGGCCTGGGGCGCCCGGGGCCCAACTGGGTAACTTGCAGCTTCTTTCCTAGTCTTCCTTCAGACACCAGGTAAGCTTCCCAACCTCTCCCCGCCTTCCCTCAACATATTGCCCCTTTCAGACGCAGGGCTGAACCATCTCCACCAGATGCCTCTTCGGATGCCTCACCGCTCCTGGCCACGGGCAGCAGCCACCAGGATGAGAGGGGGAGCAAGCCTCGCTCAGCCGCAGTGGCGGTGCCGTCCACAGGGATTCAGGCACTGACAGCGCTGGTCATCCAAGTCAAGCAAGGCCCACCTGGGATCCGCCGCGGGCAGAGCTGCCACCCTGGCCCCCGCGGGATATCCTGGGCGAACTAACCCCACATGCTTCACCCACAAGCCAGCTCACTGCAGTCATGCCCTGGCCAAGAGAAAAACAAGACGCAGATGCGTTTCCTTCAGCGGGCCAGGCCATGGTTCGCCCAGGGGCTGAACCCCGAGACTCCTTCGGCTCCACTTCCAGGTCAGTTATCACGGTTCAGGCAACCAGGCAAGCCCCTCACCTCTCTGACTCGGTTTCCCCAGCTAGGAGGTGGCCAGAAGAACACCTTGCTGCCCCACTTTGAGGAGTATTGGAGAGAGAAATTTATTTGCGAAAAGTCATCCAATCAAAAAGCATTTTCACTCCTCTGTGGCTTTGAGAATACGTGGCCTGCATGTATTCACGCACCCAGCACGACGTCCTGATTCACGCAGCGCTTGTAAAATGAGTAAATACCAAGTTCTGGAAGGGGCGACCCTGGTGTTACACGGGCCTGGGGGTCGGAAAGCTGGGGACGGAGAACCACGTGGGAAGGCCCTAGAATAACTCTGGGCAAATCTCCAGACCTCAGTTTCTCCCCGGGCCCCTCAGGGTGCAGCGCCTCCAGGCCACTGGCGCTGCCCTCCTCCTGCGCAGCACCCGAAGCATCTGGGAACTGCGCCAGTAAATAAAGAGGGACTGGGGGCCTGTGAGGGAGTCCCAAGCCAGAGGGCGCCCCTCTGCTCAGCCTGCGGGAGGGATCACTTCATCCCTTCCACAGAGGCCCTGGGGTTCCCCCAGAGAAACAACTTCGCTCCCTAAAACTCTGTGCCATGAACTCACCCAACGCGAGCGCAGCGATGGGCCCCCGGGGAGGAGACGTGCGGCCCGAGGCGCGGGTCCCCGCCCCAGAGCTCCGGCCCCGCCGCCCGGCCCAGCCCTCGGCGTCCACCGCGGCGCGGGTCCCCGAGGGCGCGGGGCGGGCGGGCGACCCCCGGGCCCAGGACCGCGACGGGGCGGCCAAGCCGCCGCGCCAGGACCCGGCGCTCCGCGTGGAACCCGCACGTGCGCGCCCGGCGGACTGGCCGGCGCGGGCCGGGCTCCCCATTCATTCTCCAGCCGCGGGGTCCCGCGGGCCGGCGCCTCCGTCCCCAGATCGCAGGGGGCTGCGGGGAGCCCGCGGCGCCACGAGCCGCCCCCCGCCCCCGGCCCCGCGGCGTCTCCGCCCGCGCGCACAGCCCGGCAGACGCGCTCGGCACGACCGCCGCGTCGCCCCCGCGCAGGGCAGCCGCGCCCGGGGCCCCGCTCCGCGCCCCGCCCGCGCCCTCGGACCTGCCGCGCTCGGCCGGCCGCGCCGGGGGAAGCGCCCCAAGTCCCGGGCCTCGGGGGCCGCGGCCGGCGGGGGAGGGGCGGCCCGGGGGGCGCGGGGAAGGGCGGGGAGCGAAAGTTCAGGCTGCGCCCGGCTCCGCCCCGCCGGGGGCTGCTCCCGGGCCCGCCCCGCGCCCCCCCGGCCCCCGACCCCCGGCCCCCGGTCCCACGGGCGCGGGCTCCGGCCCCGCCACCCCCCGCCCGAGCGGCCGCGGGCGCAACCCGGCGGGTGGCGCGGGGAGCCGGGGTCGCGGGGAGCGGGGGCGCCCTCCCGCCTGCCCCGCAGCGCCCGGAAACTTCCCCGAAGTGCGCGGGGAGCGGAGCTCCAGGCTGGGGTTCCCGCCCGCCCCGCACCGCCCCCCGCGCGGACTCACGAGCAAGCGCCGCGCGCCCGCAGGTCCGTCCTCCGCCGGCAGCTCCGGGGCCCGGCCGCGCCGAGCGCCGGATCCCGACCCCGGGGGCTGCTCCCCGCCCCCCGCCCCCCGCAGCCGGCGGCGCGAGCTCCGCGGCGTGCGCCCCCCGCCGGCCTCCGGCCGTCCGCAGCGCCACCAGCCGCCTCCGGGTCCCCGAGCTCAGCCGCATTCCCCGGAGACAGGGAGGGGGCGTGCGAGCCCCGGCCCCGCCGCCCGCGCCCTCCCCAGCGAAGCCAGGCGCGCGGGGCGCGCGGGGCGCGGCCGGGACGGGAGACCGGGGGCCGCGCCCCGCGGGGAGACGCGGCGGGGGGCGCCGGGCACCAACCTGCCTCCGCCGGGCGCGCTCGCAAGTTCATTGTCTGCCCGGGCCGCGGGGCGGGGGGGCCGCGGGGAGGGAGGCTGCGCGCAGCCTCCGCCGGCCCCGGCTCCGCGCCCCCCGCGGCCGCCCCCGGCTCTGCGCGCCGGAGCCGCGAGGGGCGCCGAGGCCGGAAGCAGCCCCCCGCCCGCCCGCCCGCCGCCCCCACCCCTCGCCCGGCACCCCCAGCTCGTACCTGGAAAACGCGAGTCCGGCGCGGAGCCTCTGCGGCTCCGACTCCGCGGGAGCGCGCGCAGCCTGCGCCGGCATCCAGGGCGCGTCAACCTGACTCCCGGAGCGCAGGAAGGAAAAGTTTGGGAGTGACGTGCAGATGGCGAACGCAACACCCGGAGGGAACCTCCCCCCGCCCCGGGTCGCGCTGACACGCAGCGGCTCGAGTCTGGAATGTGCGATCAAGGCGTGCGCGCCGGGCGGGGGGCCGGGTCCCCGCCCCCGCCCCTCCCGAGTAAACACGGGTCGTGCGGTGCGGTGTTTGCAGATAGAAAGCAAACTGGAACGCGTCGAGCCCGCCGGGGACACCCAGCAGAGACGCTGGGGATGCACTGGGCGGCCTGGAGCCGGCCCTTGCATTGGTATTCAAGGCCATGGCGCTGGTGGGTTCTGCGCCCTCTGTTGTCTTTGCTGCCCGCTAAGGCGCTCCTGGCTCCTGGGCCTGGCCTGTTGGCCTGTACCCGGAGGGAAAGCTCTGCGGGACCCCCGGGCGCCCAGCCTGCCGCAGTGACCCCTAGGCGGCCGCTCCAGGGAACCCCGGGCTGCTGGAGGTCAAGCAAGTGGCCCCAAAGCGGGACTCCGGGGTGCTGGACTGAGATGCCACCTCCTCAGGAAAAGACACTGAATTCTGGAAGACTGGACTCAAGGGGCTCGGGGAGCACCAGACCCAGCTTCTCAGGAAACTGGGCCAAGGGACAGAAAAGGATCCCTGTCTTGGGCCACGCAGCCCTGTGCCTGTCCAGTCCCTGTGGCCGCAGCCCAGCACCTCCTGTCCTCAGAGACCAGCCCTGGGGCTGAGTGGCCTGCTCGCGAGCCCGCGGGGCTTCCTGGTGGCCCTTCTCTTCCGTTCCTCTTCTTCTAGGAAAAAAAAAAGTGGTCTTTATTGATTAAGGCTTCATCTCACCCCTGGAAGCTCCAGCCCACCCTGGGGTTTAACTTCTGCCCTTATGCAGGGTGACTAATGCGGGGGTCACGGTCAGAGGATTATGACTGCAGATGGGAAGCCAGGGAGGCGGGAGATTCTTCAAAACTGTATCTTGTTCGCTTGCAAATAATGCCTCTTACATAAAATCCACAAAGAAAGATTAATGCAGCAAAGAGACCAGCCTCACAATCTCAGACTAGATTGCTTTTTCCGTGTAGACGCCATTGGTGATTTTTGTTCATTATTTTTTTTTTAAACAAAAACCTTTTTCTGAAAATACAATGAGCTGCTTTTTGCCGGGTTCACAATTCCCAATAGATGATGATGCCATTTTTCAAGGTCTTACACTCGTTGTGGCTTTGGGGCTTATTTATGAGCTCCCAAGGAAAGCCTGCCTTTCAGTGAGGTTTATATACTCAAGTAATTGCATCGGGGACACAGTGCAGGGTGCTGTTAAAGAGAGCTGGCTGTCCATGCGTCTGCCGGGAAGGCCCTGGGCCAGGCAGCTGTCAGACCAGAGTGTGCCATGGGTTTAAACAAACACAGGGAAGGTTCTATGGAAACACCAAGGAGGAAATCCCCCTCCCGTCAGGGCGTGTGGAACGTTATTCCACAGCCACACATACCTCGGCCTTCCTCTCCTCCCTCCAAGTAAACACTTGACTCCCTCATGGAGATGGCGCTGGGCCCACCGGATCACTTTCAAATTCAGGTGTCAGAAATCACGGTTGACGTGGAGCAAATTGTTTTTAAGTAAAATCACGGTACCGCTTTGATACACATCCCACCAGGGACTTTCCGAAGGTATTTATACACGTGCCTGGGATTAACTGGAGGGCGATTTTTTCCCCTCCAAGTTAATTTTGAAAAATTACCCAAGAAGTGCCCTCGAGCCTGTTATTCCAGGGAGTTGCGAGAACACCCCGTGCCAGGCCTGTGTCGACGAGCGGACCGACGGACAGACATACGGATGCGGACTGTGGGAGAGGCTGGTGCCAGTGTGACATTGGTAACTAATGAGTGAAAAATAATACAGTTGATTTAAGAAAACAAATATCCTCTCCCTGTGTGCACACTGGGGTCTCCATAATTCTGGAGCCCAGGTGCCTGGGTCCAAACCCCTCGGCAAGTCACTTCTTTCGGTGCCTGGGTTTGGACCTTATATAGCGCCTGCTAGTGGTCGGTCACGGAGTTGGTCCCCAGGCGGCATTGGATTTCTACGCTTGCCATAGCCTCACAGGGCATAGATTTCTCTTCCCCGTTCCTTGACTTTAAACCTGACATTTGACTTGCTGACACGATGGGATTTTCAGGAATGCAACCTAGTCAGAGGCTTGAGTATACTGCAGACTGGGCTTGCTCTCTTGTGCTCTGGTGGAATACAATGTGTCCCAAGAAGTGTCCAGAGGAGGACACTTGTTAGTCACTGCTGCCAGAATTTTGTTACACAGCATCAGTTGGGCAGTAGCTGATACATTACCTCAAAGAGCTAGTAGGAAGATTCAGAACCAAATGTTTGAAAAATACTAAGCACAGCTCCTGGGACATAGTAAGGGTTCAGAAATGTTAACCACAATTCATCAGCAATGATATTAAATGGATGCATTGCTGCAGGAGGGATCTGTGAACACATTAGCAGAGACAGGGGTGAAATTTCAATTCACCCTCACCTTATTCCCAAATTTGAGGTTGTTTCCAAGAGGACAGCATGGGGGGTGGAGGGCCGCTGGCACAGAGTTTCTTTCCCCTGCTGGGGGTGCTGGGGGAGGGTGCTGCACCTGGGTGGGGTGGGCCTAGAGATCGGACACTGGCTCTCAAATTCATTTGGGGTGATCTGGCTTCAAATCTCTGCCACCAGCAACAGCCTGCCTGCAACCCTGTGGCTTTGACAAATTCAGACTGCTCGGGAACCCAAAGAGCATTTCAGATTCATAAATTTAGCCGTGCTCTGGTTAGACAGATCCCTTCTGCAGTAATGCATCCGCTAAGAGCACTTTAAGCCAATTTGGGTATGCCGATCCATCACAAATCGACATGAAATGTAGGTTCTTGTGAAAATTTCCTATACCCGATCCAAAACCTCTACCAGATTTAGGATATTAACAAATACCAGTTCATTGCTCAAATCTGCAGACTTCAACTCTGCACTGAAAGTTTAATGAAGGAGCGAAAGGAGCCAGTTTTAAACCAACAGCTGATCTCACCATTCACAGGCGCGCCCTCTGCCGTAAGGGGTCCCAGGGAGGGGCGGAGGGAAGAGATGTGCAGTTTGCCTTCTCAAGGATGCTCCACAACGCGAAGGATTTGGGGCTCTACTTCAGAGTCCCCTCCTGAGAAGACAGGATCAGCCCCGTGTAGGTCTCTGCCTTCCCGGCTCTGCGCTCAAAGTCTGCAAGGTGAAGGGCCCAGCTGGAATTAGTGACCTGTCCTTCAGACTTAGTTTCAAAGGATTTCCCCCGTTTCCTAAAGTCAAATGACCTCCCCACCCATGAAGACTGAGGATCCTAAAAGCACAGGCAGAAACCTCGAGTGAAATCACATGTGGACCCCAAGTAATCTCAGCGAGCACAGCGTCATCGGAGGCACGGCCCTTTCTCCTGTGGCGTCTGAGGCCAAGAGTGAATGTGTAGCCGGGAATTGGCAATCCAGGGGCCCATGGGCAATGAAAGAGACATAAAATGTCATTGTAATCACCGCTGAAGACTCTGCTGCTACCAATTGTTGAAGGGCAGAGCCTATTAACTAGATGTTTTCAGCTGCATAACAGACATTTCGCCAATAAAATAAACTTTACGGCCGGTGGTGTTTTCTCTTACCTGCTTCTGTCACAGGATCTACAACCCACCCAACAGAAAATTGAGCTTTTGCCTTGGTAGACTCGGAGCAGCCTCGCCCACCCTGGATGTGAAGTGCCTGGGCCTTCTAAACAAGTTGCAGTGTCCTGGCTGAGCGTCTGAGACACTCACATGTCACAGAGAGAGGCTCAGAGGAGACCGGGGTGACGCCCACAGAAGCTCCAGCGGCTCTTCCTGATCTGCTGCTGGGTCCTACCCAGACAGCCTCACCCTTGCCACCTCCAGGCCTGCAGATGCCCCGCCACGCTCCTGCCCACATGCCAGAGGCAGAAGCCTCGGCGTCTACTTCGGCTCTTGGTTCTCTTTTCCCCCAGCTCCGGTTGGCCACCCTCCTCTGCCTGAGCCTGGCTGCTCTCACAAGCCTGGGAAGTTCATTTAATGCAGATTCTGGGTTTTGGCACCAGAGACTACATTTCAGTAGGTCTGGGTGTCCCAGGATTCCGAATCTCTGGGGGTGGAGCCTGGGGACCCACGTATTTAATAAGATCCCCCAAGGCCACTGAAGTGCGGCTACTGCTAGTTTGGGCCCATCTCATGCCTCCCTGGATGCAGCCTCGCCCCTTGACCTCCACCTTTCTACAGCCAGGATCTTTCCAAAACACAAATTCATTCGGGTCACTCCCATAATTAAACACCTGATCTTCCCCCCCCCAGGCACCCCCACTGCACCAACAAGGTAGGTCGAGTCCACGTGGTGGCACCTTCAGTCAGCTGCCTCTCCTGGCAGGTATAAGAGAAGGAGAAGAGAGGGAGCCACCTGGTGCCAGGCCCTGCCAAGGCCTTCACATCTCAGGCTACCACAGCTGAGGGGCCGAGGGGCTGGTGATGGGGATGAGGGCATCTGAGACCCACACTCCCATCCAAGAAGATGACTGGGCCTCAGCAACTGCTAGATGGGGCTTGGGAGCAGAGATCTGAGTTTTCTTGTGAAATTGTCCAGTTTAACAAGCAATCTTGGATGGCAACTCAACAGAAAAACAAGTTGCTCAATGCAATGGGTGCTGCATCCATGTGACGCAGGAGTGACATCTACCTGCCACCTGCCCTAGAACCCTGGGCCCCTGGTTTTGGACACTCAACTAAGCTGGGCCCCTGAGGGCCTGGCTGGGGCTAAGAGAATGTCACCCCACTTTACAGGGGAAGATACTGAAGCTTATGTAGTTGGCCCAAGGCACACAGTTTCACAAATGGCTCAACAGGAGTCATTCTGGGGCCCCTTGAACAAATACTTTTTTGCAGGAACCCCCACACGTGGGCAGGAAGACACCTGAGAGCCTAC